GTTTTGCAAGAGGCTGCTGACAGATGTCACTCTAAACATTCTACCATTTCCAGCGGTCTATCACCAATCTTTTCTTCAGCTAGCAGACAAAAGCCACATTATCAAACGCTGGGCAGAACACCTCTTCACTATCCTAAATCAGGACTCGTCTGTTGATGCTGACGTAATAAACAATCTTCCTCAGAGATCTGTTGTACAAAGCCTTTCTGTTAACCCTTCAACCTTCGAGCTCAAAAAAGCCACCAAACAGCTTTCGAATAAAAAGATCCCGGCGAAGATGGAATTTCACCTGAAATTTGCAAATGTGGCACCAGTCTTTTGATACTCATGATTTGTAAATTTTACAACCTTGTGTGGGAAAAGAGAAAAGTCCCACTATAAAAGGTTACTTCATTTGTCTATTTGTATAAGCGTAAAGGGAACAGGTGTGAACAACCATAGAGGAATATCTCTTCTTTCGGTTTCTGGTAAAATCCTTGTTCGTATCATCCTGAATAGGCTTAATGTATTTGTCCCAGAATTGGCATTACTAGAGACCAAGTGTGGTTTCCAATCCAGTAGAGGAACCGTGACATGATCTTTTGTCTCCAGTAAGCTCAGGAGAAGGCACGAGAACAAAACAAGGAATTATTTGTTGTTTTTATAGACTTCACAAAGGTTTTCGATACTGTATCTCGAACTGCTCTTTGGAAATCTTTGCTAAAATTAGGTGTTCCAGAAAAATGCTCCATATTATCTCCTTTCATGAAGGAATGAAAGCTTTTGTAAGGTCGGGAAGTGAGCAATCGGGTGTTTCAACGGTACAAAGCAAGGTTGCGTTCTTGCTCCACTTCTCTTTGCACTTTACTTTTCTGCTTTACTTGAAAAAGCATTCTCTGACTTAAGAGAAGGAGTCAATGTCGAATTTAGAACAAGTGGAGGCCTATGCAATCAGCAACGTTTTAAAGCACAATCGAAACATTGTTTGCAGCTGGTATGCAATCTTCTCTTTGCAGATGATGCTGATCTATTAGCACACAGTCTAGGAGACATTCAAACTATCCTTGATAAATTCTCTGAAACAGCGAAAGCATTTTGACTCACTATCAACATAAAGAAGACTGAGCTAATGTACACGCCAATAGCAGGCAATCCGTCTCTCACAAAGCATTCTGTATTCATTGATGGTACGACATGAAAAACTGTTGAGATGTTCACATATCTTGAATCAACAGTCTCTTCTGATGGGAAAATGGACAGAGAAATCCAATCCAGAATAGCCAAAGCCAGCACAGCAATTTGTAATCTTAAACATAGATTATGGAACACCGAAGACGTGTCTCTCAGAGTAAAGATCGACATATACAGATCAGTCGTTCTCTTAACCCTTCTCTATGGTGCTGAAACTTGGACCCTGTACCGTAAGCACATAAATCAACTTGACGCCTTTCACATGCAACTGTCTTCATACCATATGTGATCTAAAATAGGATGACAGGGTCAAGAATAGTGCAATACTGAAGAAATGCAACATTACATGCAATGAAACCATTCTAGCAAAGATACAACTAAAGTGGGCTGGTCATGTTGTGAGGATGGATGAGCATTGGCTTCCACAGAAAGTGCTCTATGGACAACTACCAATCTTCAAGCGTTCAGGAGAACGTCCACTCGTAGGCTACAAAGACAAATTGAAAGACAGCTTGAAAAGTCTCAACTTTGATCAGAAAACCTGTGAAGCCCAAGCATCAAACCGAAAAGAACTGCGTAAGACATGTTTCATTAAGTGAAAGAGTTTTGAAGACAGTAGAATGAAGGATCGTGATCAGCTTTGCCAAGCTCTGAAGCAGAGACGCCATCAAAATCGTGCTTTAACAAATTTCATCTGTCAGTGTGGCTTTGTCGCCCACAGCAAGGCTGGGCTAGTATCTCACTGAAGAAAGCACAAATGAAATATGTTTTTCCCTTACTTGATTTTCTCCACAATAGCCCCTGCTAACAGGTATAAGTGTAAAACGAAAGGCACCATCCAATGCTGACCCTCATTTATCGTTCACGAAAGAATAGTCCACTATATATATATATATATATATATATATATATATAAGAGACAGTTTATAGCTGTTCCAACGTGATAAAAATGTATATTTTGAAGAGATGAGAGAAGCCAGAAGCGTTTTTAGTTATAATGTGGATTTTTAAATATATATACAGTGTAACCCGGATATAAGAGAGTTGCCGGGACCGGATAAGAAGTCTCTTATATCCGGGTTTCTCTTATATCCGGGTTTCTCTTATATCCGGGTTTGGTCTATTTTGTTTAGGTAAATAAGGCTCTAAATTGGAACCAGAGAAAATCTCTCTTATATCCGGGTTTCTCTTATATCCGGGTCTCTTATATCCGGGTTACACTGTAACACTTTCTTTCCCATATATTTGCTACACGTGTTCCCAGTTTGGCGACTTTCATCAGGCAAAGAGTGATTTATTTCTACGTATTATTAAAAGGAATTAATTTTCCTTATGTTTTTCGATATTTAACTATCATTGTCTTTTGTGTGTAGTATTAATCCATTTTTTTCTGGGACTTGCCGAGAAAATAATCTTCTGCTTAAGGAGTAATAAAGCAATTAGGATTGGTCAGAGAAAAGGAGAAGGAAGGAGGTTTTTGTTCGTATCTTTTTATGACCCCTGTATCTTTTTAAACCTATCTACATTTTTGTTTATTGTGTGTGAGTGTATGTTTTTGCAGAGCGGGTGTATACATATTCATTCTCCATACATATATATATATTGTTTTATTATAAGGAATTAGTATATATATATATATATATATATATATATATATATATATATATATATATATATGTATGTATGTATGTATGTGTAAGCATATATATATATATATATATATATGTATTTATGTATGTGTGTGTAAGCATATATATATATACTTCCTATGTTGTGTAGTCTTCGTGTATGCTTGTGGTTAGTCAATTGTATTTGTTTTTGCCAGTAAAAGACCTTAGAGAATTTGTACGCCAACTCACACTAAAAGAAAACATTTAATAATGACGAAAACGTTACAGATGAATCATTAGTAAAAAAATAAATCCAATTTGTTCCCAAACAAAAAAAAAATAATACAAATGAGCTAAACATATTTTTTGAAAACCTCTGGAACCTCGATCTACAAGAAAAATACAAACCATTCAACAACTTTTCATACAGACAAAGACTAACATTAAAGACCATCCGGAGAAATAGCAAGATAATTATAAAGGAAACAGATGAAGGCAGCGCTATAGTGATCATGAACAAAATATACTACAAAACAAAAATAATTCTAAAGGCACTAGGGGATAAGAACAACTTCAAATTAATTGACACTAACATAGACAAAAATATTATATCAAACATTACAAAACTCTTAATAAGATATTAACAAAAAAAAAGGATTTCCTAATAAACTTCGTACCAAAAACAAGCTATTTCTACGGACTACCAAAAATTCAAAATACATATGTAAATTACTACTACAAAATTGTACATTTAGTTTCGACATTTAATAAATAACAATGTCTCTCATCAGGTAGTTAACTAAGATGGTTGCCATCATTGTTAACTATTTGGTGAGATGTTGTTTATTAAACGTCGAAACAAAAATGTACAATTTTATAGTAGTAACTTACATGTTCTAATGTAACACTATATATATATATATATATATATATATATATATATATATATATATATATATACATATTATTATTAGAAAACATAAAAGGCAAAGTCGTAAGAAAAGTTAAAAGAATTCATTTTACATTATAAAGACAACATGAGAAAGTAATTTTTATATCGTTGGGTGGTGACGGTTTGGGGGTGCTGATTGGTGGAAGAAGAACAAGAAGACTAATAAGAGAGAGAGAGAGAAAAAACGGAAAGAAATTCTAATGAGAGTGTTGACGAGAACGGATAATGCTATCGAATTTAGAATAGATAGAAAAAGGAAGCGCGGGAAATGTAGACGAATTAGGCGGGAAGTTATATTCAAGATAGTAACTAAAGAAAATTGTGTGCGGGTAGTGTGACGGATATCGGCGCGGAATAACGAAATCGGCGAGTCAAGTTCAAATTCCAAAGCTGATTAGTTGCGTTCACAGGGACAGACTTGATTTCGTCCCTTCTTCTCCCAGATACGCGTTAGATAACTGGGTAAGCTGGCCTCTCGAGGAAAACTCTGAAATTCCTAACAATGTAGAAAGCAATAGTAACCACTCCACTACCTTTTCCAAGAAGGAAACGTAATTTCCAGATAATACGGAAAATGGGTCTGTGGAGAGTCATAGCCTTAAAAAATCAAAGAAAGATAGAGAACGAGAAACAAAGAAGCTAGGAGCGTAAAAAAAAAAGATAGAAATACAAATGTTAGACAGAGAGAAGTTATGAGAGAGTACAGGGAGAGGAGAAGTAAGATAATTGTTAGATCGAGAATAAATCTCGTAAAGAAAAATAAAGGGAGATAATTTGATGAAGGTTGGTTTACGCACGGAAGCGGAAACTAATTTCGAATATTCAATCCAATGTAAGGAAGTAATTCATTTGCTGCCTTCTTTTTTTTATCTTCTTTTCGGTCAAAGAATTCAGACTGGATCACAGGAAGGTTTAAATATTTTAGGGTCTGATCGCTTTTACCCTCTTTCATAGGCTTTCTTTTTTCCTCTTCAATGGCTACTACTATTATTCTTATATGCAAACAAAGCAATGTTCTTTTCTAAATGTGAAGCGAAATGTTGACTTGCGTCTTTGTTATTTTCAGTGATGCGAACATCTTTATTATTCCCCAGAAGAAGAAAAAAAATCTAACACTTACTTATATTTCGCAAGACGGTCTAAAAAGAAATATATAAATTGTACTTTACTTTTTCGATGAAAAGAAATTCAACTCGTGGTGTCAGTTTGAGTCAAATGTTAACAGGATAGGGATCTTGCAGGACCCAAAATTTCAGCTTTTCTCCTTAATGTTTAGTCATATATATATTCTATTTTGGTTCTTTCGCCCTCATTTCTCTCTCTCTCTCTCTCTCTCTCTCTCTCTCTCTCTCTCTCTCTCTCTACACACACACACACACATGATGGTTTCGGCTCTCGTTTTTCGAAACATGAGAACTCTTATGTAGCGAAGGAATCATATTTTTAAAAAAATATAAAATATAAGCTCTACTTATGTATGGAGCACTGTCTTCTTAAAAATAAAAAAAAAAAATACTATTATCAGGATTATTTACCTGACGTGTTCCTTCCTATTTTTCTGTATACTTGCGCATATATTTATATATATATATATATATATATATATATATATATATATATATATATATATATATATATAATGATATTAATTGGTAACCCGTATAGATTATTCCAAAGAGGATATAGATCCAGAGAGTTCAGTGTAATAACAGAGCAAATAATAGTTATGAAAGGGAGACCTTAAAAGTTCATGGTAATATTTTATTTCATTAAAACCGCTCCGTTTTAATGAAATAAAAAAATTACTATGTACTTTTAAAGTCTCCTCTTTCAATTATATATATATATATATATATATATATATATATATATATATATATATATATATATATTTATCAATTCACTCCTATCAAGGCGATAATGCCGCTAAGACACAAGAAGGCTACTGGGAGGGAGTGAAAGAGTATGAGAACAATTTAGAAGGAAACGGAAGCCCAATCCTAAACAGAGAATAAGTGATAAACCTCTACTCCTGTTTAAACGACCGTGGACGTGCGTGAAAGTATATATATATATATATATATATATATATATATAGCAAGCAAGTTTTTTTTTTCTCCTGATGATGGCCATGTTTGCTGAAACTCGTCGTGGAGTCTAAATGAAATAATGATAATAAAAACAAAAGAATATTAATCTACAACCCAGTGTGTCTGAAGATTTTAATTTTTAATATTTTTTATTGTTCAAATATATATATATATATATATATATATATATATATATATATATCAACGGCCGTCCAGTGCTTTCTGCATTCTGTTGAGGTTTCTTCTAGACTCGATGAATTACTTCTGATATTCTGATATATATATATATATATATATATGCACACACACATACGTGTGTGTGTGTGTGTGTGTGTGTGTGTGTGTGTGTGTGTGTGTGTGTGTGTGATATACAGAGTGAATCAAAGTAGGTGGACAGTAGAATGAATAGTGTTTGTATTAGGGTTATATTATAACTATGATGTTTGTGTTATATTAAATTTTATAACCAAATTTATTTAATCTTTAGTTCTTTTCAGAGAGTACAGAGAACCCATAATGGCAAATAATTTAAACACTGATGCAAGAAATTGTCTGTTAAAAGAGTATTGGAAGTCTCAAGATGCTGAAACCATTAAAACAAAATGGGTTGAACATTTGGTACTCAAAACCCAAAGAGACAAACCATTTACGACATTCATGTCAAATTTGATGCCAAACTGGTTGATCCAAAATAGTTTGCATAGAGGACGGTAAGCAACTTGTTCCTGATACAATTCTTCACAATCCTGAAAAGTACACCAGAAGTGCCTCAGCAGAACTGAACGTTTCACAAATCTCTATAATACGAATTCTGAAAACTATTGGGTCGAAAACTAATCGTCCACGGTTAATTCATGGCTTATTGAAGGAATAACCAGAAAGGCGGTTGCAATTTAGTGAGATCATGCAGAACGAAATTAAAGAAAATCCAATAATTTTAGATATCATTGTGTGGACCGACGAGGTTTCTTTTAAATTATATAATGTCATAATTATTTATCAAAATTTAATTTTATTAGTATGTAACCTCAAAATAAATGTAACCATTTACTCTCCACATACATTTGGTTCACCTATATATATATATATATATATATATATATATATATATATATATATATATATATATATATTAAAAAAAGAGAAGAGAGGTGCCGCTAACGTTTTTGGTTGTAATGTGGATTTATTTAGAAAAAAATATTATGCTTTGTTTTACATAATTTTACGACACGTGTTTCTGGTCTCGCGACCGTCTTCAGGTGAAAGTGGAGATTTCTACATATTATTAAAAATAATTAATTTTTCTTCATGTTCAATGTGAAATATTCTCGATATGAGACATTCTCTGTTTGTGTGTTGGTAATCCGAATTTCTTTCTAGAATTGTCAATGAAGAGTTCTGCGTAAGTAAGACAGTATATGTATGGAGGGGAAATATACGCACGCATATATACACGCATGCTGACAGGAACACACCAAAATGGAAACAGATCCAAGAGCACATAGGGGTCACTAAAACATTAAATGCCGATAACTACTCGCTGGACCAACCTTAATTGTTTTATGACCCTTCGCGCAGAACTCTTAGCGGCACCTCTCTTCTCTTCTTTTTAATATACATACTTTTCTCTCGTTGGAACCTCTACAACATATTTCTTTTATATATATATATATATCATTCTGATTATATGACTATATATATATATATATATATATATATATATATATATATATATATATATATATATATAATTCTGTTCCTATCTAGGACTCTCAGTCTAAGTTTCACAATAAATCATTCTGTTAAAAGACATAAATATGGATTTCTGTTTGTTTGCGTCTATCGTTCCATTTATATATCTCAAATCTGTTAATATCTATTTCAGTCTATTCATATCTATCTTTCTACCTATTCGCTTTCTAATCTCAGCCATATTTATCTATCTATATCTATCTATATATCTATACCATTCTATTCATATCTATCTATCTATCTATCTATCTATCTATCTATCTATCTATTCCTTTTTGGTTATCTACCTAAGTGTTTTCATATCTATCTCCGTCTGCTCATATCTATCTATCTATCTATCTATCTATCTATCTATCTGTCTGTTTGTTTGATTGTTCAGTTTGCTCATACCTATCTGTCTCACTCTGTTCATATCTATTTATCAATTCCTTCCTTCTATCTATCTATCTATCTCTTCCTTTCTGTTAATTTATCTATCTATACCTTCCTTTCTGTTTATCTATCTATCAATCTATCTATCTACCTTTCTATCTTAATCTATTCATACCTATATATCTCAATTTGTTGATATCTATCTATCAATCTATCTATCTATCTACCTATCTATTCGCTTTGTAATCTCAGTAATATCTATCTGTCTATGTATCTCATTCTATTCATATCTATGCATTTCAGTCTAAGTCTAATCCATTATATGTCCTTCCGTTATCTATCTATATTTCTAAGATGAGATATTGTAAACATCGGGAATTATGGCAACAAAGATGAGGATAACAGTCCAAAAAATGGAAATAGTGTAAATAGTAGTTATTCTGTTAACAGCAATTAATACATGTATTTCCCTTTGTCTGCATATATATATATATATATTCTTTCTCTCTTTTCACCCTCTCTCTCTCTCTCTCTCTATATATATATATATATGTGTGTGTGTGTGTGTGTGTGTGTGTGTGTGTGTGTGTGTGTTGTTATATAGGAAGAAAATGAGTAACTACTGACACCGAGATTCGATCGTGACACTCTGGACTTATGAATATGTTTTCCGACAGGTGTATAAAAAGCGGTGTCAGACTACTGACTGCGGTAATTATTGTCGATTGAATTGGAACTATCCAGTCGAATTAGTGTGAATTATTGTACGTCGATTATTTGGGTTTTGATTTAGGATTTGCCGGACGTTAAGCCGGGCCGCGCTACTAAAAAGTTAATAACTGAAATGGTTAATTATATTTGGTTGGATTTTACTTTTTTTGTTCTTGTTAAGTATTTATTTGCGATTGTAATTAAACACTGTTTTATTTTAAAATTGATGACTTGAGTTATGCTTAATTATTAACGGTCACCATACGTCACAAAATATATATACATATATATATTTATATATCAGTCTCTTTATACCCATCTATCTATCTATCTATCTATCTATCTAAAAGACTGTCATCTTCCTTCTGCTATAATTCCGCCAAACTGACATCCTCAAAAACACGCCGCTTATATCAGTAATCATTTTGTTGAAAGGCCTGAAAAGACTGTTTCAAGTACTAAACAAAATGGCGGCGTAGAACTGCTGTCACAAGGTATGAAGTGGGAGTATGGAGACGGTCTCTTGTCAGGAACGTTCTCAAAGACACTCAGGTGATTTTCTGAATTTCGCACAGAGTGTAAATCACCGTTTGGAAATGTTTTCTTTTTTCTTTCTGCAATGGCGGCGAACAAGGAATGCTGACAAATGAAACTGGCTGGAATGCATGAAATATGATGGAGATTTTATTGTCTTTCTACAGTCGACAACGGTTTACTTAATAGAAATCATTCAGGCTGCGAAGGCGGGGGCGCTTTACTAGATTAGGGCTTTATTAGAGGAAGAAGGAGAGAGAGGGAGGAGAGAGAGAGGGGGAGATGAAGAATGGACGATGAATGGGATTGTTGCGCTGTTAAATGGAGAATAAAAAAAGATAAAAGATAGTAAATAAAGAATGGCGATTGGAAGCGATGTAGATTCTGTAAATGTCTATGGAAAAAATGAGATAATAGTGGAGATACGAGAGAAAAAAATGAAGGGTTACAAGAATAAAAGAAAGAAAGAAAGAAAGAAAGACGGATAAAAAAGGATGAGATAAAAGAAAGAAAGAAAGAAAGAAAGAAAGAAGTGTAGAAAAGTACGACAGAGTAGAAAGAAAGAAACAAAAAAGAAAGTAACAAACAAAGAAAGAAACCAAGAAGATGGAATGTTGATAAAGATAGAGGAGGATGAAAAGAAATAGCAAAAAAAAGGGTTTTATGAAACGAAAAAAAGATAAAAACTATAATCAAAAAGGGGAATTTTTTTTCCTAAGAGATTTTTTAGAAATAAAGAAATTTAAATAAGAAAAACTGACAACAATTATCAGTGTAAAAATATATATATAATACGAAAGAAAAGAAAAAGAAATTTAGAAAAATATATCTACAAGAAAAAAGTTACGAACTGAAAGGAAAGAAAAAGGAAATCTATTGGCAAAAGTGAAATACGGAAAATGGAAACGAGTGAGGTAAAAAAAGAAAAGGAAAAAAAGAGAGAAACAAAGGAGTAAGGGAAACTATTACAATCATCATCATAATAATAATAATAATAATAATCGAGACACTGATGAAACCAAAAAGTAAAAAGAAACAAAGACTACAAAGAAATGATTCCATTAAACAAAAATCACTGGGATATCTATTATCTATGAAATACACAGGATGATATCTTGTATCCTTCATTGAATTTGACAGTAGTCTATTATTTAGGTCGAGTTTTTCACATCTCTGAGCAATGTTTTCGCAAACGTTCGCAGTGCTCCCAGTACTCTGGCCACTACCGTCACAGACATGTTTCCTAATTTGCGCAAGTTTGTGATATTTATTTACATTATTTAGAATCATTATTTGAACTGAACACTTTATTTAATCTACGGGGTTGGATTATTAGTGTTCTTCTGTCTCTTTCCAGAGACACTTCGCCTTGATTGTACTTCGTAATGCTCTGTTATTGATTGTCCTGTTTCCACTAAATCTGCACTACCCAGCCCAGGGATTGAACTCGCAATGACTATGTCACCAAATTCAACACTTCTATTTCTTCTCACTCTCCCTTTTGTCCAGTTTTTCTCTCTATTTCTGGTCTCTATCTCTCTTTCCGGTCTTTCTGTTTTACTCTCTCTCTCTCCCTCTCTCCCTCTCTCTCTCTCTCTCTCTCTCTCTCTGTTCTATTTCGGGTCATTCGTTCTCTTTTTCTGGTTACTCTTCCTCTCTCTTTCTGTTCTCCCCCTCTCTTCGTCTCGCTCCGTCTCCCAATGTTCGATTTTTTCTCGCTCTTTCACTCTCTCTCTCTCTCTCTCTCTCTCTCTCTCTCTCTCTCTCTCTCTCTTTGGTCTCTTTCTCTTTTTCTAGTTTTTCTCTCCCTTCACTCCTCTTTCTCTCTCTCTCTCGCTCTGTCACACACACACAAAAACTCTTCCTCTCTCTATCTCTTTCTGGTCTTTCTTTCTGCTCTCTCTCTCTCTCTCTCTCTCTCTCTCTCTCTCTCTCTCTCTCTCTCAGGTCCCTCCTGGTATTTCTCGGTCTCTTTCTGGTCTCTCTCCATTCCTTCCTCTTTCTGTCTTTTTTTCTTTCTTTCCTTCTTTCTTTCTTTTTTTCTTTCTTTCTTTCTTTCTCTCCCTCTCTCTCTCTGTCACACACACACACACACATACAGACACACACACACACACCCTTCCTCCCTCTCTCTCTCTCTTTCTGGTCTTTCTCTTTCTGGTCTTTCTTTCTGCCCTCTCTCTCTCTCTCTCTTCTCTCTCTCTCTCTCTCTTTCTCGCTTTCTTTCTCTAGTTTCTTTCTCCCTTTCTGCTATCTCTCTCTCTCTCCCTTCCCTTCCTCTTTTTGTCTTTATCTCCCTCTCTGGCCAGTTTGTCTCTCTATCTTTCTGTTTTCTCTCCCACCGTCTCTCTCCCCCTCTCTCTCTCTCTTTCTGGTATCACTCTCCTTCATCTCTCTTCTTTCTCTCGGTTTGAATTTGGTTGGAAAGTGTTGGAATGTCGGTATTTTGTTTTATTGTATGCTTAGCAAATATTAAATCAATTGCACTGGAGTATGAAACGTTTGTCTTCAATCTGACGAACGTCTAAATAAGAAACAAAACAAAATGTGTAGATGGATGATACAAATGATATCAAACATAAAGAAACCGTAAAATTATATAAAAAAGAAATACAATAATGCCTAAAGAAAGATAAAAACATTGCCAAATGAATTACAAATCGACTTACAACCAAAGCGATTTATGAGCGACAGATTGTAACCAATCATAGTCGTAAGTCGATGTTGGCCTGTATAGTGAATTCCCAGAGTAAAATAATACCATTATCTTCCAGAACTGGTGATGGTTTTCACCTACATTGTTTTTCTTTATAGAGTGGGTTATAATATTCTTATACTTATCTATGAAGGTATTACCCTCCCCTATTATGTCTGTTTTTTTAATTTATTTGGTACTCGTGTAGTACAATTAGGTGATCAATAGTATGGAGAAACAATGCTTTGGTTGATTGGTTTTGTTTAGCGACATATCAACATCTATTGTTTAATGCCGAAATCTAAATATTTTGAACGCAATTTTATGGCTTCAACTACAGATATTTTGTACATCATTTTATACTTTCAAAGTAAACATTTTTTTTAGATATATAGTTTGTAGATAATGTATTGTTGGTATTTTTTAAAATGTACTGCTGGTAATTTCACTAGAAAATTGTATTGTTGGTAATTTTTTAAATGTACTGCTGGTAATTTCACTACAAAAATGGTATTGTTGGTAATTTTTTAAATGTACTGCTGGTAATTTCACTACAAAATTGTATTGTTGGTAATTTTTTAAATGTACTGCTGGTAATTTCACTAGAAAATTGTATTGTTGGTAATTTTTTAAATGTACTGCTGGTAATTTCACGACAAAAATGGTATTGTTGGTAATTTTTTAAATGTACTGCTGGTAATTTCACTACAAAATTGTATTGTTGGTAATTTTTTAAATGTACTGCTGGTAATTTCACGACAAAAATGGTATTGTTGGTAATTTTTTAAATGTACTGCTGGTAATTTCACTACAAAATTGTATTATTGGTAATTTTTTTTATAAAAATCTATTACTGGTATTTTTTATGAAAACGTATTTTTGATTTCTGTTTGGTGGGGTCCTTAATTTCTGTTTGGAGATTCACGATTTGTCCATAGCCGGGACCCTAATAGGTGCTATCAGCCAGGGTCAGGGTGGATCTGGGGACAACAGCAATTAAGGTGTGGTTCGAAATTTCTCAAAAGCTCCAATTACCCGATCAGGGGCCTCGCTGCCGGGTCTAACTTGTTATACCCTGGTCTAAATACTTTGGATCTCCTCCACAAAATATATGTCCGGTAATATCATGTTAGCAGGCTTTGATAGTGAGCTGGTTGGGATAAAAAAATTTGCCTCCGGTTTTAACCCAGGATTCAGCAACCACTGATGACTCAGATTGTTGTCATTGTCAGGATTTCGTTCTCACGATGGGTTTCGCTCATGGATGTTTCCTCACCCCCATATTTAATTTTCAGGTTGGTTAGACATTAAACATATACTTTTTGTCTTATTTGATTTGATATCCTCTTCGACTCTTAAATGCTTCGGTCGGATAATGATGTTCATACCTCATCTCCTATCCGCAGCACATGAGCTCTTCCAAACAGCACTGCCACCTGCGCAGTCACAATGGTGTCAGGTACCTTCAAGGCGTGTTGCGACGCGGAAAGATTCCTGGAAATAGTCCCGAGTGCTCCAAGCACAAAAGGAACAGAGCAGGTCTTGGTACCTCTCTATTTTTGCCTGCTTCACCTTTACGATGTTCTCATTCCAAGGTACAGCAACATCTATCAGGACCCATTCAGGGCTGCTCTTATGCACAAGTGTAATATCAGGGCGATTTCTCTCCAAGCGCTTGTCAATCAACTTCCTCGCTTTCAACATTAGCTCAACTTGCTCATTCTCGTCTACTGACGATGTTGTATATTCCTACTACGTCTCTGTGCACTCGAGGCCGTATTTCCTGCATCGTTCATGATGTATTCTATGGGCTACTTTCTCATGACTGTACTCTTTTTATGCCAGTTGAGTGCAGCCACTGACAAGGTGCCGCACACTGTTTTACGTAGCATTATCATTATTATTATTTTTATTATTATTATCATTCCGTCATTTATACAGTCTTAAATCTAGCTCGTATTTCCATTTCATCCAATCTTGATTCTAGCGTGTGGGACACAACTGCAAACGAACCTACTATTATGGCCACGATTCTAAATTACATATTCCAAATCATCCTCAGGAAACGTCCTGGTATTTCTGTAATGTATGACTTTCCTCAAGTTCTCTTACGAGGTTCTATGGCATAAAAATATCAAATTTTACCACTCTTCAAATCTGATATTGAAGTAGGAATCGGCCTGATTTTTGTTTTCTGCGACAGTTTGGGCTGATACAACTTATCCACATGATCGAACCCAAGTCATTTGCACAGTTACCAGTATATGACTGTTGCCACCCTGTCGTGTGTTCCTTTTCATTCTTTTCGGGATAGTTTATGAATTATGAGCTTTACCGCTTCAATTCTTTCTATCAGGGCAATTTTTCCGGGATTTTGTCAATCTTCGTTTTATTATTCGTTGTTCTTATTGAGCTTTATGTCAGAATTAACTGGTGACAACTTACAATGTGTATCAATAGACAATATGACTTCTCAGAGTTGCAGCACTTTACCATCTATTTTGATGACGTTGTTGACTGCAGAGCCTTCTTCGAATTTTCAGTTCTGTTTAATCTATTTAGATTCATTGCAACAACAGTAGGTAAAATTTCGTTTTAGGTTTTGCTTTTCAAGTGTCCTTATGGGTTCTAGATATTAATATATATTTTCGCTTTCTTAGTGTGTATTTGAATTGGATAGGGGCATCCATTATTTAATAAATTATTTTCTTTTTTACGATTGGATTTGGGGGGGGGGCATTTCAATCTTAGTCTATCTATCTATTCTTTATTTGATCGTGTTTTCTAAGCTTCTGGTTAGAAGCCGACATGACCTCAAGCCCTCGACACTAACCATAAATCCGTTTTTGAACCAAATGAAACATTTTAAATGATTACCAGTTTTTTTAAGGAAACAGTTTTGTGATTTTCTTTCTTGTTTTAATATAAAAGTACTTCGTATCGATTGGTTATTTATTGATTCTCTGATCAATAAAACAGTATTTCATTTGAATTCTCGATCTTTAAGATATGCAAACTTTAATTTTTAAAGAGTCTTTCTGATTATCAGATTAGTTCGACTTTCTCTTCTCTTTAAAGAGATTCCAAGAAGAAACGAGTTAAAAAAAAAAAGGTACTTTCCTCATTGAAACGAATTGAATAATCAATTGGTGAAGTTTATAACTTCATCCCTATTTTTTGTACATCCAGTTCAGTTTCGCCTTTTAGGTTGATTTATAATTAAGACATTTAAATAATAATAATAATAATAATAATAACAATAATAATAAAACCATATAATAATTATAAATGTGTATTTATATATTTCCAGTCCCATCTGAGGGCCTAATAAGATAGACTGAAATGCACGTAGAAATAATAAGCATTTATTTACAAGTAACAATTACTTTTAAACAAATATATCACGGGCTTCTTATTAAAGTTGCTACAGTATATATATATATATATATATATATATATATATATATATATATATATATATATGTGTGTGTGTGTGTGTGTGCGTGTGTGTGCATGTGTGTGTACTCGCGAATTTATTTTTATGTAAAAAGATATCAACAGTGCAGTAATAGACTTTGTTTTTTATTACAGCCTCTCCCCCATGGTGGATTAGGATTATCTGTTGTTTTTTGTTTGTTTGTTTTATTTTTTTTGTTTTTTTGGCAATCTGACTTAAGAATTAAATATTCAAATCAAATGTAATTATCCCTATTTTACAATTTTCTTTAAAATGACTCCATATAGCAGTTAAAACGAATATCATAAAGTACTGTATCCAACAAGCAAAAGATATGTAATGAGAATTTTGCTCTACCATATATTACGAGGCTATGATAAAAAAAAATAAGCTGTCATTTTTTTACGGCGCTGGTACACTATTAATAATAATAATAATAATAATAATAATAATAATAATAATGTATAGAGAAACTAAAAATAGATAAAGAAATAAATACGTTGTATTCGTACCCTGACCTTTGAAAGAAAGCTGAGGAAGTTATGGAACGTGATAGTATCCATTTGATATCAAAGAACTGGGAAAATCTCGAAACTTTGGAAAAGAGCCGAAGGAACGAAAATGTAGAGAGGAGTCTGAGAATTGTGGAACTATCTTTTTGTTTCTTGCTTCCCAGTTAACTTGGGTAGTGAAAAGTTTTAAATACAATGTCAATCGTTAACTTCTGTCGTTTTCATGTTAAGTTATTTCCAAGAATAATATTGATCGAAATTTGTCAAAGATCTCGATAACGAGGCTTGCTTTGAAGGGGCAGACTCTGCTGTTTTCATCACATCATGGATTGCAGGATCAATGAGTTCCCATTCTTAACTGCACATTTAACATTTGCCCAACTCATTGAATGTTCTTGGAAGATCGTAGTGCTTTCATCAATTCTACGCCTATATTTGTATCGATCAAAAGCGGCATTTTCCCGCTCAGCATCGTCTAAATAGCAGGCAGCAGGAGTCTCTTTTAAAGAGTTCTTGAAGTGTTTCCTTCGCTTATACTGGAGACAAGTGTCGTAGAGCAAACACGCCGTTGAGCATTTCCTTGGTTATTTTGCCGTCTTCAAGGCGAATTGCATTCTTATATCAGAAATTAAGGTGGATAGTTAGATGTATAGATATTAAAAGATTTATGTTGGAGGGAGAGTTGAAATCAAGTCAAAGCCTGGTCGATATAAACCATGACTGGAAAAAAAAAACATGATATGATAAATTACTTTAATTTTACTCTAAATAGTTTATTGTATTTTGCTTGATCTCTGTGATTAATGGAGAAGGGTTGGGTTAAGTGCATTGAGCGGGGGGAGATTATTCTTAAAAGTAAATATTTGCTAAAAAGTGAATATTTGTTAAAAGTAAATATATGCAAAATGCTTTCACATATAAAAAGACAAAGAATTATATAAACAGAACGAGATAGATAGATAGATAGATAGATAGATAGATAGATAGATAGATAGATAGATAATGAACAGACATAGATAGATAGATAGATAGATAATGAACAGACATAGATAGATAGATAGATAGATAGATAGATACATAGATAGATAGATAGATAGATAGATAGATAGATAGATAGATTTGAAAAAAAATATGGATTAAATCCGAGAGTATAATAAAATAAAGAACAAGTAGAAAACGGTTTATAAGTTTAACAGTTTTCCCCGTTATTTTAGTTTCACCAGGAATTTTATGGAAGAT